TCCCTCCCTAGAGGGGCAGCTAGCTCGGACCCCCCTCCTGCACCCACGCGACAATGCCCGCGGCAGCTGGATTCTCCCCTCGCTCTCCTCTGCACCTGCGGAGATTGCCGGAAGTCCTTCTGGCTTGTACCTGATTTGACTTAGGCTTTGTCAGCTTGCCACGTGGTTGTTTGTCTCGTGCATCTGCTTTCATCACTCGGGGAAAGAATGCGTTATCCAGACGTGAAGGACTCCACTTTGAAGGTGGGGATGTCTGTCCCCTTCCTGGGACGCCGATGCTGGCCCTCCCTCGAGGGTGAGCTTCCGTCCCAGACGCCGGGGTCTTGCTGGCTCGCTCTTTTGAAACCTTGAAGGAATGTATCCTGTCGTCCTGTTTGATGTGTGTTCTTTGTCCTGACAAGAAATAAAAAACTGTGTTGAAAACCATGCTTCTCCAGAGCGCTTTCCTCCTTGGTGGAGACTGCACTCCTGGGCTATAGTCCTGTTTGGCCAGAAAAAAAAAAACCCCTTTTAGTCTTATGATAAGTTGTTTATTGATTACTTGGTCTCCACACCCAGCAGTCATTGCCATCTTCTGGAGACAGTGTGTTTGCTTGTTCGCCATCACCCTGTATCCTTCCGGTTTTCCTTTTCCCTCCCTGACCAAGTCCTCTGGGTTTCTCCTTGCTGGACCTTTCTCCCCTTCCAGGCCTCCTGACGTGTTCAGGTGCCTGAGGGCTCAGTCCTTGGACCTCTTCTCTTTCCACAGTCACAGCCTCATCTAATCCCGTGCATGGTGGTCAGAGAAGATTTTAAATCCCATCTGGTCCCACCCTTTCCTCTGAACGCCAACCAGTATGTTCAGCTCTATCCCACTCATACTGGGATTCATAATAGTTATCTTAAAGGTAGCTGTACATAGAACTGTTGGTTTCTCTCCATCCACGAGGCAAATACAATGCACACCTCCACCAGTGTTCTCAGTCTCAGTAAGTGGTACCACCCTTCATCCCATTTACTCAGGCCTTAGGATCATCCTGACTCTTCTCTTTGGCCCTAGTTTCAAAACATAATAAAAATACCAGTGGTTTTCCAGTTGAAGGACGACTGGTCATGGATGTATTTGTCAATTAAAAGAAATAATAGTATGTCATTTTAACAGGATGGTTACAAACTCTCAGAAAGTTTTGGAGACTAGTTTTACAACACTGGCCATAGAAAGAGAAATATATCATAGTTGCTGAGGTTGCTTGAGTTTTCTCTATTATATTTGTTATGTATGTGGAAAAAAATCTATGAAAATTATCGTATCAGAGTAACTCACATTGGAACATAGTTTATTTCTTTATAGAATAAAATACATGTTATTAATTTAAAAAGTACCAGTGGTTGAATTCAACCACTTTTGCCCTAGTTCAAGCCGTAATCATTTTCACCAGCACTTTATGTAGCATCCTGCTGGGTTTCTTGCTTCTGCTGTGGACTCGGCGAAGGTTATTTATCTGTCATTTCTCAGTCCTCCACTTGCCCTTTTATAATCTGTCCCACAGACACCCAGAGTGTGTGAACTATTTTCCTGGTTCTCCTGCCAGCTGGCTTCCAGTGAGTTGTGGCAGTTGCTGGGTTTTCTGTAGTGGAAGAGGAGCTGGGATGATTCTTTCCTTGGTCAAGGTGGCCCCTCTCTAGGAGATACAGGATGACAGTGACAGCATCTCCAGGTGGCACCGGTGCTGGTGCAGCTCCCCTGGGTTCCTTCCAGCCAGGGGAATTTTCGGCAGCTTCTCATCAGTGGTATCACCCCATGAGTCCCTCTGGCCTCTCTTAGTCTTCAGATCCCCTCCGCCTGCAGTAACTGGAGTGGGTTCTCTTTTCACGGCTGGATCCTGACTGATACGCTTTGCTGCAGCCATTCTCCGCCCAGCTGTCAGTGATCCTTTCACAAGACCTTCGACCCTGTTACTTCCCTGCTCAAAGCTTTCCATGGCTTCCTGTGACATATAGAACAAAATCCAAAATACTCGACTAGCCGTACGTGTCCTGGCCTGCAGCCCCCTCTCCAGCCTCCGTTTGTACGATTCTCCCACTTAGTGGAGTGCTTCTCTTGCTGTTCACAGAACGGGAAGCACACCTCCACTTCGGGGCTTTTGCACTCTGCTCTTTCCTCGGCCTAGAGTGCTCAGCTAAGTTAATTCCATCTCTGCTTAAATGTAACCTCCTTAAAGAAGCCTCCACTGACCACCATGTCTGAAATACCAGGCTCTGCCACTCTGTCCCTTACCCATTTGTTTGTGTCTGTCTTTCGTGTTCAACGTAGTGTCAGTACCAAGCAAAGAATCTGGTCGGTTGTAGGTACTCTGTAAATATTTATTGAACAAAGGAATGGTACAGTCTCAAGTACTCCAGCCTCCGTGTCTTGCACTGTCCACGTTTGTGGCTTTCTCAGTAGCAACAGTAGTTTGAGAGTTATTTAAAGAGATTCCTGGTGAAGGAAGGAAGGTGGCGTGACCGTCAAACCTCCTTCGCCTCCTTCCTTGCCTTCTTTTGGCCAAAAACATGACGTCCACGTGGAGATACCATGGTGATCTCGCTGGTAGAGGGGAGGTTGCTGGTGAGCAGGCCTTTTACTTTACCGGGAAAAGCTGTAGCTTCCGGCACATACCGGTGTCTAACTCAACTTCATACCCGAGCGTTGCCTGTGCACAGTAGGCCCACGGTCTAAGGTCAGTGCAGGATTCTCCTGCTGTCCCAGAGGAGAGCATTCC